TAAAAACAAAGTAAAAATTTTGTATAGGGCCTTTTTATTCAATGATCTTACTAAATTCACTTATGTATTCTAATAATTGGTTGATTTCTGTTGGATTTTATATGTACATAATTATGTCATCACAAATAGTAAATTACGTGCCTCCCTTTAATAAATATACCTTTATTATTTTCTTGCATTTCTGCCCTGGCTATGATTTCCAGTATGATGTTGATTACAAAGGGTGAAAAGAGGTATCCTTGCCTCATTTCCAATCTTGGGGAAAGCTCTCGATAATTCTCCATGAGTAAGATTTTTGCTATAAGTGTTTATAAGGATAGTTTGCTATGGTTGTTAAATTTTATCAAAAGCGTTTTTTAATAAACGTTTTTTGTATAACTGTACATATGATCATATTATTTTCAACTATTAAGATGATCTTGTACTTCTTCAATAAGGCAAATTTGGTCTTTCTGTAGTATACATTTTCTCTATTACTAGACTGAATTTTCTCCTATTTGATTAGAGTTTTTGCATCCAATACAAGTTTGATATGAACTTCCATTTATTATGGTGTCCTTATACGATTTGAAGGATCTCAACACGAGGCCTGATTCACCTATAGGACCTTTGCCAAATTCTAAAACTACATTGCTTAGAAAGTGAAAAAATAAGTTAAAAGCCTCTGAGTAAAAGAGATCAGTCGTCTTTTGATTTGTGATTCTGAGATCAGAGTTCAAGATTAGAGATCAAGTGCGTAGAACAATGTAACATAATACTTGCAAATCGTATTTCCTGTTTGGGGCAGAAACATCTAACAACTCCAGGAACCTTATACTCTCTCTTTCAGGCTCTCAGAGAAAGGCTGGTCTGTGGGCTTGAGTAAGAACAAGAAAAATTTCAACCAGGAAAAGAATTTATAGGATGCACTGCCCTGGCTTGCTGTGGGCATTCATAGCCTCCTTTGGTTTCAGTAAGTATAGTCCTAAACATAGGGCCTCAGTTCCTGGTAGAGCTCGAGGATGGGACTATGCAAGTGGTAACTGGCAGGGGTATTAAGACAGAAGGAGGGCAATGGGTAAATAAAACTCTACGTGATTATTTTCTTTGTTCCTGTACCATAAATTATTCTATTCCTTATGACTCACTTAAGACATTCAGGGAGAACAACCTTGTCTTCTCTTTCCCATAGGATGCAGCATGGCTGAGAAAGTAAACCAAGCTCAGATCACAATAACAATGCAGGAGGGGGAAGCTGTTACCTTGGGTTGCATGTATGAAACCAAATGGAGTTCTTATGGTTTGTACTGGTACAAACAGCCTCCCAGTGGAGAGATGGTTTTCCTTATTCAGCAGGAATATTCTAAGCCTAATGCAAAGCAGGATCGCTACTCTGTGAATTTTCAGAAGGCAAACAAATCCATCAACCTCACCATCTCTTCCTTACAACTGGCAGACTCAGCGAAGTACTTCTGTGCTCTCTGGGATCCCACAGTAGTAGAAATGACAGTGAAAGGTAAACAAAAACCTTAGAGCTGCATAAAGGACAGCCACCTGTTCAGGGGTTTGGGGAAATCCCACGAACCACATACAGGAAGAAGATAG